CGTATCCAGCCGTCAGAGAAGGAGGAGAATATGAGAAAGTCCCTGTGCTTTTAAGCCAAGCATTTGCTGAAGTTCAGTTTTCCACACGCAGTGTCATAGTGGTTATCACCGCTCATATCGTTATTTTACAAGCAAATGCTGCTGACCTTTTTGTGACATTAATTTGTTGGTTTTGTACGGTGTCTCTTGTCTTCATAACGGCCACAATTTAACCCAGAATTGGCATTCAAGGGTGTTATCATGGACAGATGTCTGGCCAGCGACTGCATGAGCAGATTAGTCTGATACGTGCGGTGTGTGCAGGACAAGGTGGAGGCTGTGAGGGGCATCAGGGAAACCGGAGCATTCTGCTGGCAGAACAGAGGAAGAGGGCACTGTGGTAAAGACCCTCAAATGATGACAGTCAGAGGAACATCAGCCCTAACAGAACACGCTCAGGGGTCCCAGTTAGTTCTCTATTAGCTCTTTTATGTTGTTGTTGAATTTTTGTTCAGGGGAAGCGTTTGTGTTTGTGACTGGCTCTAATGTGAAATACTAGAATTAATGAGATGTTCTTATAGACACTTAAATCATCCACATCCAGATCTTTATTCATTCATAAAGGTGAAATAGAAAATGTTAACACCAAGCCTATACTGACAAACATATTCTGCAAAATGGCAAAAAGTTAATGTTTGCTGTGAGCTGATCGATGGATAATGGCTGCCACATCAGTACGGATGTTTATCTTATCTATTGCCTGAGATGAACAGATAACCGAAACAAAATAATATGAATAAGATAACTATCTATTCACACCACAAAATAATAAGAAATGATATACAATAATATTTTAGGCAGTTTTAAACGATTCCTTTGTACATAACTGTATTTGTTAGAGTGATTCACTTGATTAAAGTTCATCCAGAGGAAAATACATCTAATGCATTACAAACACTCATTAAAGCTTCTTTACTGTGCGGTCGTTATCTCCAGGGCCCGTTTATTTAATTGTGTGTGTGTGTGTGTGTGTGTGTGTGTGTGTATGTGTGTGTGTGTGTGTGTGTGTGTGTGTGTGTGTGTGTGTTTCTCTGTGTGTCAACGCCAAGAAGTAATATGTACACAAACAATGTAGAGGCAGAAAAGCGGAGAAAGGAAAGGATACAGAGAGAAATGGTTCAAGTCTAATATTTTCAAGATTCAAATTTCACCATGATCAAAAATGCATTTTATTAACATTTCAACAGAGATACTCTGCAAGTATTTTTTCTTGACATCTAACATCTGCATAATTATTCTTTGCCTTCTCTCGCAAAGATCATCATAATCTCCATTCAACTTTCACTTTGCAAATTTGGATATTTGCCCTGTTGCATGTGTTAATTGTATAGTTAAAATGACTACTGATTTTTTCTAGCACAGACAACCTGCATTACCATGCATAGTGAACCTTTACATGAGTATGCAGTCGAAACATTAATGAAACATGTAACATTCAACTATTTCACAAAGGAAATGTCAAAATGTTGCTTTCAAAAGACCATATTACTACTTATACTTATAATGTTTTATGATACAAATTTGAAGCATGTTACGCTTTACAGAATGTCCTGAAATCCTCATCTCAAAGGCTTTATTCATGTAACTGGCTGTTTTAAAGTTTATATTAATGTTATAATGCACCAATTGCTTCTAAAGATTGGTATTTTACCAGGTTAAAGGACAGTTATTGTTGCAGGATCGTGATATACAGACACCATGAATTGGCAGACCTGTCATGTACCTTCACCTCTTACTGCTCAGGACTCCCCTTGATGATGTGTGTTCAGTAACAGAAAATCTTCCCGTTTAACAGTTAAGAACCCTATTCACCTGCAGTTGTCCCCCGCAGAGGTTGCTGTTTGTTCCATAGTTGGCTCATTCTACTGGTGTCCCTCCTCCCTCCCTCCCTCCCTCCCTCCCTCCCTCCCTCCCTCCCTCCCTCCCTCCCTCCCGACCCTGGGCGCTCCAGCTGGAGTGCTGTGGCTTCTTTATGAGTCAGTAATGTGGAAGAGAAGCACCTCAGTTAGTCCCAGTATTCTTTTGTTTATTTGCGTACATGGACATTGTGTCTCTATTCCACATTATTTTTGACTGTGTGTGTGTGTGTGTGTGTGTGTGTGTGTGTGTGTGTGTGTGGTGTGTGTGTGTGTGTGTGTGTGTGTGTGTGTGTGTGTGTGTGTGTGTCAGCTTGTCTGTGAGTCTGTCTGGATGTGAGTCTTTTTGGATCCCGAGGGATAAAATCGCATGACTGAGGGAATCCCTCCAGTGACGCTAACCGTATTTGTAACCGTCTGATTGAATCGGTGCATGAGATCTTGATGTAGAGAGTCCACCCCTTAGGAAGTGAACTTGTTGACCTTTGACCTAGTACTGTTCTGGAAGGGCTATGAGCTATATCATGTGCTCAGATGTATTTGAGAGACTGATAGTTCAATGACCCATTATTACACATTCATGACTTTTGTTGAGTGTTCCTTGTTTTCTATTCTGACTTTGGAATTTACATCTGATGTGCTTTAGATGTGATCACGTTTGGCATGATTTCCACCACTTTGATGCAAATTGTTTATATCAGAGTAACAGACAGAAAGCCTGCTTGCTGTGTTTTTGGGGGGTATTCGGGAGATTTACTCACACAAGTAACTTAATGCAGAAAGTGAGCTTCTTACCCCTAACTGGCCCAATAGCTCCCGCAGACATTAATTGGATGAGAAAGCAAAATGGCAGGTTATATGAAGCACAGGTAGCAGAAGTATTAACCCGAGGCACACGACAGGCTGGACTGGAGTGCCTCTTCTGGTTAGGAGGGAGTACCACAGTTCCTGGTGCACAAAATCACTGAGAACACTACAAAGAAAAATAAAGCTTTATCAAAGGACTCTTTTGAATGTGCATGGATTGTTTTTAGCTGGGTCTCAAAATGAAAAATTGCATTAAATAAAGTCCCTGTTACATCACACCCAAGAATTACATTTTGGAAAACTATTGGGAATGTTTTTCTCAATCATGAAGATCCCAAATCAGACTAAATTGTCCCCTGGTGTAAACTAAAGAGCTAAATAAAGAGCTGGAACATATAACTTGCACGGCAAATGAGAGAGCATGCACTTGCAAAACTACTCAGCCTGAAGGCACTATCAGAACAATAGATAAGTAGTAAGTAAGTAAGTCATAACTAATTCAATCCACTAACTCGCAAAAGTCCAATAAAATTAATAATAACAGAAATGACAGCCATGATATATAGGAAAAACAAACAGAGATGCACTCAAAATCAAGCAACTTCCCTCAAACATTGAACAGCACAATAACTTTAATTATATTAAATCAAAGGAGTTTAACGTTTTTGCAGTGTAATGTATTTCTGCGACCGAATCTGGTTATTATTATTGGAAGAACAACTGGGCTGCACAGTAGAGGAATGTAAAAAAAAATGAAACTATGTAATACTCGAAAAGTCAGACAGAGATCGACCATGGAAGGACTCTGTTATGACTCTGTGTCCTTGTGAATGCCTCACGCACCATTCCGGGCATTTGTTGCTTACTCATACATGTCGGGCACAGACGCTAACAGATGCTCACAGTGAGCTCGTTCATAAGGACTCCAGCCTGAAGCGTGATTTTTGGCCTCTTACTGTATGTGGGTAATATGCAGGATAGGAATTCCTGATATTTTCCTTCTGTGTCCTAGTCATATCCTTATATGGTCACAGCGATCAAAATGACACATGTTTCATCGCAAGCCTTTTCAAAACATTCCCACCCTCTCTGCTCCTATTGTAGAGACAAAGCAGAGGTCTGGGAGCCCATGGTCATCTCTCCAAGCTATATTTTCCATCCTGCTGCAACTGTAGCTCACTCCGGCTAAGCTCTCCAACTGATTGGTAAGGATATCGTCCCTGGAAACCCTTTAGACCCCAAACCAAGCTAGTGTTCATGCTGCGATTTTCCTCTCAGTCTAGCTGACAATAAGCCATGCGCTATTGTGGGTTCATAAGAGGGAAAGTACTGTGGAGGTGTCATATTCATACCCAACAGCCGGCCCAAAGGGACAGCAGTGTTTGGGTTCTGCCTCACTGTCTCAGCTAATGTGGGTCTGCTGTCTGTCTCCCTGCTCCAACAGTTTGTGCCTGCATGGCCACCTGCTGATTCTGCTGGTTTGGATGGACTGCCTGGAGCCTAGACATAACCTACATAGGCAACATGTCCCTCTCTTCCTAAACTGTGCTCAAGCTCACTCACACACACACACACACACACACACACACACACACCACACACACACACACACACACACACACACACACACACACACACACACACACACACACACACACACACACACACACACACACACACACACACACACACACACACACACACACACACACACACACACACACAACAAGCACAACAAGCACAATAAAATGCTATTTAGTTCCCAACCAGAACAAACCAGTCAAGTTAATACAATCCTGAAAACTGCACCTCACACAGAAGAAGGCTCACTAAGAGGATTTATTCTTCAAAAAGAGATAGGCTGTTAAATGTGTGTGTGTGTGTGTGTGTGTGTGTGTGTGTGTGTGTGTGTGTATTTTACGATAGCAAATTCCCTATTTGGATTATTTTTGCCTTCTACGGATATCCTCCTTCCACCCTGCTTCGTCTTCTAGTTCCCCATAAATTCCCAAACTTCACAGCAACTTCATTGTGGCACTGAGCTCGAACTTCCTTGTGTGTATACCATGTGCAAAATAAAACGGATCAAATTACGGATTTATGAATTGCCCGAGCTAGAGAAGAACACTGATTTTAATTAAAGCAATTATTAAATCATCCCTATTCCCACCTTGCTTATTTATTTTGTACTTGCTTTAATAAAATGTTTTGGACATTTGCATTTATTAACTGTTAACTCATAATGTCTTCCTTTTTCTCCCTCTTGTTTCCCCCTTCCTCCTCCTTTACTTTCTCCAGAGTCTGTGAACAGGTGAGGGAGGGACACTGTCTGCCCCACTGTCCAGCGACACCATGAGCTGGAGCTTCCTCACGCGGCTGCTGGAGGAGATCCACAACCACTCCACCTTCGTGGGGAAGCTGTGGCTCACCGTGCTCATCGTCTTCCGCATTGTCCTCACTGCCGTTGGGGGAGAGTCCATCTACTATGACGAACAGAGCAAATTTGTCTGCAACTCTGGCCAGCCGGGCTGCGAGAATGTCTGTTACGACGCCTTTGCCCCTCTATCTCATGTTCGCTTTTGGGTCTTCCAGATTATATTGGTTGCTATGCCTTCTCTCATGTACATGGGCTATGCTGTCAACAAAATTGCACGATTGGATGAGGCCAAAGGAGGAAGTGGCTCTGCTGCAGTTAGAACAGGAGGAGGGGGATACACGCACAGGAAGCCCAGGAAAATTTTCTTTGGAGCACAGCAGCACCGGGGCATCGAGGAGGCGGAGGATGACCAAGAGGACGATCCCATGATTTATGAGGTGCCAGAGATCGAGCCGCCAAAAAGGCTGCGGGATCCATTGCAGCCAACACCCAGGCCCAAAATCCGCCATGATGGGCGGAAACGTATAAGAGATGAAGGGCTGATGAGGGTTTACGTTTTGCAACTGGTGATTCGTACACTGCTAGAAACAGGCTTCCTTGCAGGGCAGTATTTGCTGTATGGGTTCCGTGTGAAGCCTGTATTTGTGTGCTCGGGGAAACCTTGTCCCCACAGCGTTGACTGCTTTGTCTCGCGGCCTACAGAGAAGACCATCTTTCTGCGCATTATGTATGGTGTCACTGTCCTATGTCTCACGCTCAATATCTGGGAGATGCTGCATTTGGGGATTGGTACCATCTGTGATATTCTCCGCCGTCGGCGCTGCCCACCTCAGGAGGATGAGTACCAGTTGGGATTGCTGGGCACTAATGGAGGTGTGGAGGGTCCAGTAGGGGGGACAGGGCCTGAGGCAGGCTCTGAGGGAGGGTTGGGTGGAGATGGGCCTGCAGATTATGTTGGTTACCCCTTTTCTTGGAATACCCCATCAGCTCCACCTGGCTACAACATTGTGGTCAAACCAGAACAGATGCCATACACAGACCTTAGCAACGCTAAAATGGCATGCAAGCAAAACCGGGCAAACATTGCCCAGGAAGAGCAGCAGCAATTTGGTAGCAATGAGGATAACTTTCCTACTGGAGGGGAGGCCCGCGTTGCGTTGAACAAAGACATGATCCAGCAAGCTCATGAGCAACTGGAGGCGGCTATCCAGGCATACAGTCAGCAGCACCGGGCAGAGGAGCAGCATGGGGACAACCAGGATGACAAGCCCCAAAGTAATATCATACAGGCACAGCCTCAGCCACAGCCACATAAAGAGAGAAAGCATAGATTCAAGCATGGGAAAGGAGGCAGCAGTGGAGGATGCAGTAGCAGCAACAGCAGCAGCAGCAAATCGGGAGAAGGCAAGCCCTCTGTATGGATTTAATCCCTGAAACATGACATGTATGGAGATCCTGCATATTTAAATTACTGGATTACAGGTTGTTGACATTTATTGGGATAATTAAACACACCATAGTGCCTTTAAGAATCCTGCAAGCTGGAGAAGAAGTCTGTTTATGTACTAAGGTGCGTGGAAGAAGATGTGATTTTGCAGCTGACAATTAGATTTGTCTGGGATATCACTGTTTAACTTGAAACATCACACCAACACAAACTATATACACAATGTGTCGTTAACATGTTTTATTCTCGTCAAGACATCTTATTGTCCGTTGTCATCCTTTCTTAGGGATTTTAAATTACTGAATGATAACGAGTTGTCTTGCAAATCAGATTGATCCCAGATTTGGCTGAGCACCATTCCTTGCTACTCCTCTGCAAAGACAGTCTCAATATTTACATTGGCATCCTTATTCTTCTGGAAATTGAAATAAATGATCATAATAATACGATGCAATGTCATCACTACATTCTGGCAAGTTTTAGCAAAGACAGGGTACTGTTTAACAAGAACAACAACAACGTAAACGCAATCAAATTATGTTCAGTAACAGCGCCTAAGGCAGTGACTTTATAACGCAGTGAGAAATTCACCTTCCTGAAGGTGTCATATGTGTCTGATGTGTTTATATTATGTACCCTGTTATTTGTTTGTTCATTTGAAAACTGCTACACAAGCTGCTGCTTTTAAACCGATGAGTACAGCAGGTTTTTCATGCAGTCTACATCTGAAACGTCCTGTGATTTATTTTAGAAGGCTCATAATCAATCCTTTTTCCATACCTTACTTTTCAACTCCTCAGTTTCTCTCTAAGGCTCTTCATGGCTATTGAACAAGGCTGCTCAGCACTCCACTGTTGTCTCATCTGCCTTGTAGTTGTGTGCCCCCTGGTGGTATCTTCTTCTGGCAACATTTATGGGGAGTAGATACTAGATGCCATTGTTACCTGCATCCAGCAACATCTTAACCAGCTGTAGTGTTCCTTTTCTATTCACAAGCATTGTGTCTGATAAGTGTTCTCAGCGCTACAGTGTTCTATACACAAGGCTGCAATATCACAACATTGAAATGGAAAAGGTTTAAAGCCATTACTATGATATAGTGAGACCAAACACTGTTAGTGTGATGCAAGTGTCAGTGCCAAGATATTATGCTATGCTGTCAAGAGCATGGATATTTGTAGCTTTGGAATACGGTGGCCAACACTTTTGTAAACGTCACTTGTTTTTTGTATAGGTGTGTTTATTCATTTTCCGGAATGGGATTTAAAACGAAAAAACAAACCCCAAAATAGGATTTGATTTTTATGCTTGATCAAGTATTTGTTTATGAAAACACTCTTTTTTTCAATAATTTTTGTAAAATAAAGAAAAAGGTAAGCCAGTTATTTTACCAAGTTGTATAGGTATTTATGGGTATGTGTATTAAATTGCCTTCAAATTGTAAAAAAAATTGAAATATGACATAGTATATTTTTATAATATGTCGGATACAGTGACTTATTATCGTAAAGAAAAAAAGCCAGACTTTTCCCTGTATGTTACAGTATCAGTATTTAATGTATTTTAATAAACAGTGTTGCTTTTTTTCCAATGTTGTTCTGAAATCTGCTCCACAGCTGTTTGTGGAGACAAACTGGCTGATGTCGCCAGTTGGGAAGAAGACATGAAGTGCCAAATTATTCAAACCATTCCAAGATGCGGCTGCATATGAACAAGCCACAGTTCATTTTATGAAGAAATTGGGAAGGGGATGAATCTGAAAATCTAGCACATTATGATCTTTATTTAATAAATCTTAAGTGAAGGATCTGAGACTTTCCCAGCAACTATTGACTAGTAACTAACTGAACAAACCATCGACATGCAAAGTTGTGAGGACAGACATGTGATGTGGCTTCCTTTAGATAAATACAAAGCACAATACAACAGGATGCTCAAGTAGAATGAGTGTTTCTGATTGGTTGGTTTTCCTATTGGCGCCACATATCCGTTCAACAAAACGGCACAGACAAGATTTTTGACTAAACTTTTTACCCTGTTTTGTTGAAGTGAAAACACTCAACACTCAACAGTAGGATCCCCTGCCTTCCTTTCAAAGAAGGGAGCCCTTTGGAAAGTATAGGAAGGGCATTTTAAGGGAGGTGCCTTGAAGTAAAAGCCCCATCTGCTCAGAGTCTGCATTTTTGGCAGCTTTTTAAGGTTATTTGGTTAGGACTTGCCTGTTTTGAAGTGAAAAGAATGGAATTCAAGCAGCCATCTTGGTCAAATGGATTACCCTGTGCTAGAGTTAAGTGTGTAATAGTGTTGTCCTGTTGTCTTTATGCATTGAGTGACTGAGACAGAAAGTGAATAAGATACAAAGTAAAAAGTTTGCTCGCTGGACAGAAATGGCTTTTCATTTATTTGTATAACGGTTTTTAATCTCCTCTGAATATTGTCACTGTCCTGTGAAAACCTGGTGTCTTCGAAATGTCACTTCGGTTTATTTAAAAAATCCCTTCAAGCAAACACATCAAACCAAGGATAAAGGTGCTCTTTTTAATTTAGTGCTGATGATAGTCTATCATAAGTGTCTCTTCTGTGTTTTGTGCATTTGGGAGATAGTATTATAAGAGTGTGGGCCTATTAGCAAGGATTTTTTTTCCCAACCCATAATGAGCATCTAATTTCCATTTTCGCAGTACAACATGCCCATGTTGGTTCATTTCAGGACATTTTCATCCTTGATTCTTCAAGGATTTTCAGCTAAAATGTAAAAAAAGTACTGACAGTGTGCAGGAATTTAACTTTTTATTTGACATGTTAACAAGATAATACTTATCTCCCCCAATTTCCTTTGTTTTACATGGTCACAATATGCAATTGAGAACCTTGTAAGACACACGTTGGAGCTGAAATTGAAATGATCCCTCATGCCTGGTAGCTGAAGGAGTTATAAGGGAAAGAATGTCACAATGTTATTGTATCAGAAGTAATTTGTGGTTCTATTTATCAGGGATACCATAATGTCCAACCTCAGCATCTGACTGTCTATGTAAAATAATGTCTGTGTTCAGAAAAAAAGGACTTTAGTGTTTCCCTACATGTTTCTTATAGTCACCCATGTGGGCTGTTGCAATAAATCTAGTTGTATTACCAGTACAAACTAATTCTTACATGCATTTGTGTGTTTTTGTTTTTCTATGCCTTTTGTAAACTGTGTATTTCTTTATGTACTATTCTGGTATCCACTGGGAAATCTTTTTTTTCAGAATCTTTGATGAACACATTTGCATGTGAAAATACCTATTTTCTTACAAAATAAATCCGAAATGTATACCAAATAAAGTCCCAGCATCCTTTGTTTGAGCTCCCCAGTGGAGAACAAAGATGTCAGCCTTCCGACTCCTGAACGGTATTGTCCTGTAAGGCTGACGTTGTGTCACTGGCAGGAACAACACAGGAGACTGAAGAGATGCCACTTCAGCTCATGTCAGCTGTGTCTTTATATTTGTTACTTGCGCACATTATTCAGTGACAGTTGAAATTCACCTAATCCCTAAACCATTAGATCATCTACGGTTTATTTATTATTTTTCTGAGTGACAACAATTATTACTGAGAGTTTATTTAAGTATCAATTGCAATTCTCCCAGTAACACTAGACACTATCCACAAGCGCTAACTCATTATTCACTGTAGTAGGTCCATCTTGCTTTGGCAAACTTGATTCATGCCATTAGATAGTTGTGGACTCAACTAGGGTTCAAACTAAATTAAAAGTGGACCAGCTTTGTACAGAGGGGCATTAGCCTTTGCGAAAATAGATCCATCAATTCATTGAAAAAACATAATAAACATTTTCTTGATTCGACTGGACTTCAAACAAGCAATGTAGGGAGAGGTGTGATCCACATTTAGTTCAACTACATTCAGATTAGCATTTTGATTCAAGAAGTTACATTCCTAACAGCAAACAGGTTTGGCCCATAAAACAAAGGAATTATTTGATTTTAAACAAATGTAATGTTGATTCTCTACCTTACCAACCCACTCTCTTCAGTCTGCGTACAAATGACACGACTTTACACATTGGAAATGCGTGCAATAGATACGCAGAAGTCCGATTTTGCGTGCATATGATAGCTAACCATTCCCATTGAGATCTGAGGCTGAGTTTTACGTGCATATGATACGCCACGTTTCGTGCCTGCACCACTTATTTTTGTCCGGTCGGGTCTTGGTAGACCGGAACCTGTGTGGTTAATAAAAACATGTTCTTGCTCAATACCAAGCCACGTGTTATGTTTTGCATGGGGCTTTTGTTGTTTTTGTGTTTTACTTGTTGTGTGCTCCTTTTACCCCTCACTACTCTGTCTTTCCGTCTCTGCAGGGCTGGTGTGTGACAGGGGGGCGTGGCTGGTTTACTCCTGGTTGCAGATGAGGCACACCTGTTCCCACTCTCATGATTAACCTGCTCTTTAAGAGCCTGGCCCTCACCTCACTTCTCTGCCAGAGTGTTACATGCTGTTCCGCGGTCCGGAGTGCCTTTCTGCAGCCTGGAGTCTGTTTTGTTTTTCTTCGCAGTTTGTTAAGGAGTTTTCTTTTGAGTTTTTGTCGGGAACGTTTTTTCCCGCAGCTTTGTTTTTGAATTTACTACGGCCAGCCAGCTCCCTGTCGTCAGTACCTGCCTTGGATTACCTTTGTTCATTAAACACCTTGAAACTTTATTTTTTGTCAGTCTCTGCTTTGGGGTCCAAGTAATATCCAAACGTCACACCACGATTATTGTTTTTATTTTAATTCGTATAATGTCGGACTTTTTTTGCCGTCTGTGAGGAAAATAAATGGGGCTCAGAGCCTCAGAATAATGAAATCTGTATTTTTTAAAATCTTTTTTTTGCATCTAATTTGTTATTCTTTTCTAAATAACACACTGTTATTTTCTCAACAATAATACACAATTATCCTTGTTTTTATTTATTCGTTTAATTCTATAATCTTGAGCTTTTTAGCATGCTTTTTAGCCGTAAATAAAGTCAGCGGAAACAGACGTAGGACATTTCGAGCATCATTGCGATACACACCACAACCCCACTGAACTGATTACCCGCTTGAAGCTCGGTGATTGGATGTTTTAGCCGCAATGCACGTTGGGATATGGTGTTAATGCGGTATGATATCCGAAAAACATTTCAGAGTTTAGGATGGCCGAAGACACTACACTACCCATAATCCTCAACTATCGTTTGGGACTACAGTCCCGTTGCTTGACAAACCCCATGATTAATCTTCAAGTTCTGGGATTGGATGTTGGAGTGGCAGTGTGCCAAGGTTACGCCAAGCGTCAAACAGCTCTTTGAAATCGAACGAAACCACGGCAGACTATTCAAAACAGGATTGGAACGCACATTTTTTTCTAAATTGCTCAGTTTCTCAGAACACTAAACACAATTCACAAAACCACACACCCAAAGTGCAAAACACCTCATTTCTCCTGATAAGTGAAGAACTGCACTCAAAACTACATAAACACTTACCAAATGCAAACTTTTGCACCAAATATAACACACTTCATTCATAATACTAGATTGTTTGACCACCCAACTACACACTGCTGAGCATAATCTAAAGCAATTTCATCTGTTCTGGGCTATGCTCTGTACATAGAGGGTTCTGCAGAGAAAGATTGCTTGAGTATACAGAAATACAGTAAATGAAGAAATACAAATGAGTTGTTGAAAAAAATCACATTTTATTCAAAAATAACATTGTGCAACATGCATCTCAGCACATAGTTACTCCAACACACTCTCACTCCCTAAGCGTCCAGGAGTGACGTTTGGTCAGTGTCCGTGGCGTCCAGTTGTGACGCTCCTAGGCTCCTTCAGCGTCATAAAGGGACGCAAATAGCTTTCAACTGATTGCAATGTATTCCCATCTGCGGCGGGATTTGACGCTCATGGATGCACGGCATTCGTTTGTGTCGGCTGCCCTTAAAGGCAATGTGAGCGTCCATTCCCATTGGATAACGGATAATTGTACACCCGGAAGTAAGTATTCCTCTTACTGTCGATTGATTTTACAGTGATATCTGCACTACTCATCGACTAAAAAACACCAGATTATCCTTGTTAATTACACAACATTGATTGGTTTAAATTGTGTGCAATGCTTTTGTATTTTTCCCCTTCGATTCGGAGAAACAAATGTTTTTTCTGAGTAAAGGATGGCAGAAGACACTACACTACCCAGAATCCCCAGCTATCGTTTGGAGTACACCATGTGCTCTGTTTGACAAACCCCGTGATAGTCCTCAAGCTCTGTGATTGGAGAGTGTGCTCCGAGGGTTACGCCGATTCTCGAACAGCACTTGAAATGGGATGGAACTATGCACGGCAGACTGTCCAAAACTGGATTTGAACGGGTCCACCGCGTCCCCCCCTCCCCCACCCCATCCCCAGAACTACACATGCTGGCTATTCTGTTTCGCAACATGTTCTCTATCTATGGCACGTCTCTACTGGGAGTTGTAGTTTTAAAAGACGTTTTCGTATTTCCCATAATAAGAAGTTGCCAGTATTAAACTGTGTACATCCCTGGAGGTTTAGGGGATAGGAAACACTCAAATTTAAAACATATAATTAATAAATGGGTGAAAATTGCTTGTGCCCATAATGGGCAGCATTAATATATATACACACATGCCAGCTAAGGTCAGAAGAGCTTTATTTAACAGCTGGTCTTATGTTTGTGACCCCTGTTGTTAATTGATAACATTACATTACATTAATTGATAAGCCTGAAACATGCACTTGTCAAGGTTCAGAGGCAAATTTTGCAAATATGGCAGGAGCCATCGATCAGCTTAAAATAAGATATACTTTATTGATCCCAAGTTGGAACATTTGCGTTACATCAGCATGTGTAACAGTTGTAAATATGCAGTGGTGTTTATTTGTAAATCATTTAGTATAATCACACAAATTCTGTGTTTTATATTTAACAATTCTGTGTTCTTTATTTATTGATTGTTCAATACCTGACAAGGCCGGAGATGAAATATCTACATACATCTTATAAGAGTATAATACATTATGTATAATATCAGTTAAAATAAGTGCTTCAACATAGTTAACATTGCTGGAGGTATGCACAAATATTGATATATGTCTTGTAATGCACTATTGAGGAACCTGCAACCCAAGTTTTTCATTCAATGCAGAACTACACCATAGTTGTGTAGGCCTATATGGTCAATAAACCTTAGAAAATCTTGAAAGGGATGTGCAAAATAGTCATTATATACAGTCTTTAATTAACTATTAGTAGAGAATAACGAGTAATGAATATACTTTATAGGGATCCTATTAATATCTAATAATAAAAATAATGAAATTCAATAACATGCTTTAACCACTAGGTGTCCCTTTATATCAGCTGTGCACCTTTATGGTGTAAATACAGCCTATCTACCAATTGGATCAAATATAAAAGTCAGCCGAATTAGTGTTGATACTGCAAGGAGATGTATTGTGTGAAAATAAATGTAAGATGTTGTTTAATGGCTGATATATTTATGATCCACGTCAAGTTTTCAGTTCCTCATGTTTGTCTATAAGTCTTCTCATCAGGGCTCTATAAATACAGAACTACGGCAGATATGTAATATTTAATGCAGCCGAACCGTGTATTACAATGCCGTTATGTGATGACTTTCAAAGAGAAAAGCAAGCACACTCGGAATAAAGTATTATTTTATTTAAAAAAAAGTTTTCGGTCTGTTTCCGGTATTTGTTAATGACGATGTGCTGTGAGATGTGAGACTGAAATTGCACAGGGGAAAATAACGTAGGCTATCTTTAGATGCGGATTTTGTTAAACTAATATGTTTGCGCTGTGGACCAACACTATACATTGACGGGGAAGGGGGTAGCAATAAAGATAACACCATTAAACTGTTACACAACATAACAGAAATAATATCGATAGCAGCGTCCCTAGCAACCACCTTGGTAACAATGAAAACGTCGCGATTTCCTGAAGTAAACTTCGTAATAACTAGCAAACTAAAGATCATGGACATCCACTGCACACATAATCTGAAATAACAACTCATATTTCTCGCATCAAATGACATCAAAACGCCTTTTAATGGCCAAACTAACTTTAAAATTGGCATTTTCCACCGAGAATAAAACGAAGTTCGGCCATGTTTTCTTTTTCTGCAGGGAGAAATTTGAAGATCACGAGACATAGACGCCAGCCATTGGAATGAATAGTGAAAAAAACGGGGTTTGTCAAACAGAGCACATGGTGTAGTCCAAACGAAAGCTGGGGATT